TGTGTGTCTGCTTCTATATACTGTATGAATGTGTGTCTGCTTCTATATACTGTATGAATGTGTCTGCTTCTATATACTGTATGAATGTGTGTCTGCTTCTATATACTGTATGAATGTGTGTCTGCTTCTATATACTGTATGAATGTGTCTGCTTCTATATACTGTATGAATGTGTGTCTGTTTCTATATACTGTATGAATGTGTGTCTGTTTCTATATACTGTATGAATGTGTGTCTGCTTCTATATACTGTATGAATGTGTGTCTGTTTTTATATACTGTATGAATGTGTCTATTTTTATAGTGTATGAATGTGTGTCTTCTTCTATATACTGTATGAATGTGTGTCTGCTTTTATATACTGTATGAATGTGTGTCTGCTTCTATATACTGTATGAATGTGTGTCTGTTTTTATATACTGTATGAATGTGTCTATTTTTATAGTGTATGAATGTGTGTCTTCTTCTATATACTGTATGAATGTGTGTCTGTTTCTATATACTGTATGAATGTGTGTCTGCTTCTATATACTGTATGAATGTGTGTCTGCTTCTATATACTGTATGAATGTGTGTCTGTATCTATATACTGTATGAATGTGTGTCTGCTTCTATATACTGTATGAATGTGTGTCTGTATGAATATGTGTCTGCTTCTATATACTGTATGAATGTGTGTCTGCTTCTATATACTGTATGAATGTGTGTCTGTATCTATATACTGTATGAATGTGTGTCTGCTTCTATATACTGTATGAATGTGTGTCTGTTTTTATATACTGTATGAATGTGTGTCTGTTTTTATATACTGTATGAATGTGTGTCTGATTTTATATACTGTATGAATGTGTGTATTTTTATAGTGTATGAATGTGTGTTTGATGTTATATACAGTATGAATGTGTGTCTGCTTCTATATACTGTATGAATGTGTGTCTGATTTTATATACTGTATGAATGTGTCTATTTTTATAGTGTATGAATGTGTGTCTGTTGTTATATACTGTATGAATGTGTGTCTGCTTCTATATACTGTTTGAATGTGTGTCTGATTTTATATACTGTATGAATGTGTCTATTTTTATAGTGTATGAATGTGTGTTTGATGTTATATACTGTATGAATGTGTGTCTGCTTCTATATACTGTATGAATGTGTGTCAGTTTTTATATACTGTAAGAATGTGTGTCTGCTTCTATATACTGTATGAATGTGTGTCTGTTTTTATATACTGTATGAATGTGTGTCTTCTTCTATATACTGTATGAATGTGTGTCTGCTTCTATATACTGTATGAATGTGTGTCTTCTTCTATATACTGTATGAATGTGTGTCTGTTTTTATATACTGTATGAATGTGTGTCTGTTTTTATATACTGTATGAATGTGTGTCTTCTTCTATACAACTGTATGAATGTGTATCTGTTTCTATATACTGTATGAATGTGTGTGTCTGCTTCTATATACTGTATGAATGTGTGTCTGCTTCTATATACTGTATGAATGTGTGTCTGCTTCTATATACTGTATGAATGTGTGTCTGTTTTTATATACTGTATGAATGTGTGTCTGCTTCTATATACTGTATGAATGTGTGTTTGATGTTATATACAGTATGAATGTGTGTCTGTTTTTATATACTGTATGAATGTGTGTCTGCTTCTATATACTGTATGAATGTGTGTCTTCTTCTATATACTGTATGAATGTGTGTCTGTTTTTATATACTGTATGAATGTGTGTGTCGGCTTCTATATACTGTATGAATGTGTCTGCATCTATACTGTATGACTGTGTTTCTCTTCTATATACTGTGGATCTTGTCTGCTTCTATATATGAATGTGTGTCTGATTCTATATACTGTATGAATGTGTGTCTGCTTCTATATACTGTAGCCTTGAATGTGTGTCTGCTTCTATATACTGTATAATGTGTGTCTGCGTCTATATACTGTATGAATGTGTGTCTGCATCTATACTATATGAATGTGTGTCTGCTTCTATATACTGTATGAATGTGTATCTGCTTCTATATACTGTATGAATGTGTGTCGGCTTCTATATGCTGTATGAATGTGTGTCTGCATCTATATACTGTATGAATGTGTGTCTGCTTCTATATACTGTATGAATGTGTGTCTGTTTTTATATGCTGTAAGAATGTGTGTCTGTTTTTATATACTGTATGAATGTGTGTCTGTTTTTATATACTGTAAGAATGTGTGTCTGTTTTTATATACTGTATGAATGTGTGTCTTCTTCTATATACTGTATGAATGTGTGTCTGCTTCTATATGCTGTATGAATGTGTGTCTGCTTCTATATACTGTATGAATGTGTGTCTGCTTCTATATACTGTATGAATGTGTGTCGGCGTCTATATGCTGTATGAATGTGTGTCTGCATCTATATACTGTATGAATGTGTGTCTGCTTCTATATACTGTATGAATGTGTATCTGCTTCTATATACTGTATGAATGTGTGTCGGCTTCTATATGCTGTATGAATGTGTGTCTGCATCTATATACTGTATGAATGTGTGTCTGCTTCTATATACTGTATGAATGTGTATCTGCTTCTATATACTGTATGAATGTGTGTCTGTTTTTGTATACTGTATGAATGTGTGTCTGCTTCTATATACTGTAAGGTGAATAGCCTGCTTTTATATAGAATGTGCCTGTTTTATATACTATATGAATGTGTGTCTGTTTTTATATATACTGTATGAATGTGTGTCTGTTTCTATATACTGTATGAATGTGTGTCTGTTTTTATATACTGTATGAATGTGTGTCTGCTTCTATATACTGTATGAATGTGTCTATTTTTATACTGTATGAATGTGTGTCTCCTTCTATATACTGTATGAATGTGTCTATTTTTATACTGTATGAATGTGTGTCTCCTTCTATATACTGTATGAATGTGTCTATTTTTATACTATATGAATGTGTGTCTGCATCTATATACTGTATGAATGTGTGTCTGCTTCTATATACTGTATCAATGTGTGTCTGCTTCTATATACTGTATGAATGTGTGTCTGCTTCTATATACTGTATGAATGTGTGTCTGCGTCTATATACTGTATGAATGTGTGTCTGCATCTGTATATTATATGAATGTGTGTCTGCTTCTATATACTGTATGAATGTGTGTCTGTTTTTATATGCTGTAAGAATGTGTGTCTGTTTTTATATACTGTAAGAATGTGTGTCTGTTTTTATATACTGTATGAATGTGTGTCTGTTTTTATATACTGTAAGAATGTGTGTCTGTTTTTATATACTGTATGAATGTGTGTCTTCTTCTATATACTGTATGAATGTGTGTCTGCTTCTATATGCTGTATGAATGTGTGTCTGCTTCTATATACTGTATGAATGTGTGTCTGCTTCTATATACTGTATGAATGTGTGTCGGCTTCTATATGCTGTATGAATGTGTGTCTGCATCTATATACTGTATGAATGTGTGTCTGCTTCTATATACTGTATGAATGTGTGTCTGCTTCTATATACTGTATGAATGTGTGTCTGCTTCTATATACTGTATGAATGTGTGTCTGTTTCTATATACTGTATGAATGTGTGTCTGCTTCTATATACTGTATGAATGTGTGTCTGTTTTATATACTGTATGAATGTGTGTCTTCTTCTATATACTGTATGAATGTGTGTCTGCTTCTATATACTGTATGAATGTGTGTCTGCTTCTATATACTGTATGAATGTGTCTATTTTTATAGTGTATGAATGTGTGTCTTCTTCTATATACTGTATGAATGTGTGTCTGCTTCTATATACTGTTTGAATGTGTCTTCTTCTATATACTGTATGAATGTGTGTCTGCTTCTATATACTGTATGAATGTGTGTCTGCTTCTATATACTGTATGAATGTGTGTCTACTTCCATATACTGTATGAATGTGTATCTGCTTCTATATCCTGTATGGATGTGTGTCTGCATCTATATACTGTATGAATGTGTGTCTGCTTCTATATACTGTATGAATGTGTATCTGCTTCTATATCCTGTATGGATGTGTGTCTGCATCTATATACTGTATGAATGTGTGTCTGCTTCTATATACTGTATGAATGTGTGTCTGTTTTTACATACTGTATGAATGTGTGTCTGCATCTATATACTGTATGAATGTGTGTGTCGGCTTCTATATACTGTATGACTGTGTTTCTACTTCTATATACTGTATGAATGTTTGTCTGTTTCTATATACTGTATGAATGTGTGTGTCTGCTTCTATATACTGTATTAATGTGTGTCTGCTTCTATATACTGTATGAATGTTTGTCTGTTTTTATATACTGTATGAATGTGTGTCGGCTTCTATATACTGTATGAATGTTTGTCTGTTTCTATATACTGTATGAATGTGTGTGTCTGCTTCTATATACTGTATGAATGTGTGTCTGCTTCTATATACTGTATGAATGTTTGTCTGTTTCTATATACTGTATGAATGTGTGTCTGCTTCTATATACTGTATTAATGTGTCTGTTTCTATATACTGTATAAATGTGTGTGTTTATATAATTTCCGAAAATATTTGTTATTTTAATACATAAATTTGTGAGGTATGTTTGTGAGTAATTACATCAGTAGTTCTGGTGTCTGCTACCCATGATTGCTTTCTGCTTTAGTGAATATATTTCCAATCTGTTTTGGGAATGAAAAAAAAAAAGAAAAAATTTGACAGTAAATAATGAGTTAATACAGAGGAGTTCTCTGGTGGCCGGGGTATCAAATATTTCTGGATGAGTTATTTCTTCACCTGTCATGGAAATATGTTTGGCTATTTTACACTTTTTTATATCGTGTAAATCAATGTTTGTCTACTTTCATTTTATATATCGTGAAATCTGTTTGCATAACTTTTCACTTTTTAAATCATGTTAATATATGTTTGTAAATTTTCCAGGTTTGATATCCATGATTTCTTTCGTAAAGGGTTTAATGAAAAAGAAAAGGCTCTTACACATAGACACTTTATTATGTATATATACCATATGATTCGATAATTCACTCTGTTTTTAAAACTCTGTTCACTTTCAAAAGATACAGGTAGATATGTCAAGCCAGGGCCTAATTAGGGTATGTGGCTGGAGTATACCCAATCAGATCCTGGCTTTGAAGTATGGGTATTGTGATTGGCTAATTCAAGTGGCTGGAGGAGGGGATCGGCCAATGACGAATACCCACACCGTTAGTACAGCTCACAACCGATATACAACCAAGAACATGCATGTATAACACTTTTTAGTGGAGGTTACCAAGGCTAATATACCTGAACCCACATATTTATGACACCCAACACTTAGGTAGGAAGAGACGCTACGCTGACCTCGACTAGCCCCGTCACAGAAAACGTGAGGAGGGTAAACTTTTATTATTGGAAAGACATTATAATATGTTTTAGTTTTTTTAAGTGTCGCCCTTAGGACAAAAACGGCTCTTGATTTCATTTCTCCTTGCTGTATACACGAGATAACTTTTGGTGAGTGTAACAAGAATCAAGTGATGATGGTTGTAGTTCCAGCTGGAGATGATAGAGAACAAGGAAGGTGATAAGAAACAACGCAGGAGAACTAGCTGAAGGAGAAGTCACAGCTTGTGGTGAGGGACGCTGCTGCAAGAAGGAGGAAGACAGTCGCGACAGTAGGGGAAGTCGAGGTGCGGTGAGGTCCCCGACGTCACCTTGGGCAGATACAAATGGCGGTGAAGATTTATTTCCCCCACTGCTGGAAGATCCCCATACGCTGGCACCTGCAGTTGGTGCCCCACAGGTTGCAGCGGCAGGAGGAGTTGTAGCAGCAGTCATTGGGGCGGTGGTCGCACATTCCCCCACGGCGGATGCACGACCTCCTAAAAAGGTAGATGTAGGAAGAACGTCTGAACAGACAATAAGAAAGGTAGAACTTGGGTTTGGTGATGATGGAAATGAATGACGGTGAAGTGATAATGATGAGGGTTTAAGGAAGGAAGGAAGGGGGAAGGAGGAGGGTGAAGGATAGATGAAGGACTTCAAGGTCAACCTTACAGGTTTTCCCTGAAATATAAGGAAAAATATTAAATAAACAGAAGTAAGACATCCATTATACAACTGAAAGTCATATGATCAAAATGCAGAGAAATTATCTTGTCATTAGCAGAGGAGAGACCGAGAGGAGGAGGAATTAAAGACTATTGGCAATAATAACAGTACGTGAATGAAGTGTTGTATCACGAAAGTTGCCTCGACTAATAAACTTTAGTCTAAAAAATAATAAAAACGTAAATATGAAATTTTCAACTATTGTTAAAAATCACAAACATCTTAAGAAAATTACTAAGAAGACTGAGTAAGAATATAAACATCAGTGAATCAGATGAACGCATGCAAACTGCGTACAGCAGACCAGGCCGCCCCAGCTGGCTCTCTCAGGCAAACTGCGTACAGCAGACCAGGCCGCCAGCTGGCTCTCTCAGGCAAACTGCATACAGCAGACCAGACCGCCAGCTGGCTCTCTCAGGCAAACTGCATACAGCAGACCTGGCCACCAGCTGGCTCTCTCAGGCAACTTTGACAATACATCGGGATGCATGAGTCGTGAACTTAATAGTATTTATATCAAACAACTTTATAAATTAGTTTTGAAACTTGAACATTAACATTCTAATCAAAATAACTTAGTAAAGTTTGTCTAATCTAAAAACAACATAATGTTAAATACTAGAGCAGTGACAGTATAATTGTAATAAACTATTAATGTTACACGATGTTACCATCATGCAAAATTATAAAATCTGGAGACCTCCATGCACCTTTGAATACTAATTACTGTTGATACTTGGAGTAACACCTGTGTGCGTGTGTGTGTGTGTGTGTGTGTGTGTGTGTGTGTGTGTGTGAAGAACCTAAAGTCATATACATAACCATAATACGTTAAGAGTATTTCATGCTGTATTGTTACTGTCCCCATCCCGCTCCACCCCCCCCCCACCTCCCTCCCTCCCTTCCGGTTGTCGAGTTGAGTTCAGAAGCTTTGAAGTGTTGCCCTGGGGTTAATTTACTCATTACTCGAGCCTTTACTCAGTGACGAGGGACGCTTCCTTAATTGAAAGCAACAACCACTTACTCTAAAAGAAAATTAGAGACAAATATTTACAGCGAGAGAAACATAGGAATATAAACAGTGTAATGTTATAGAAGCAGGTGTCAGGTGCTCTCTCTCTCTCTCTCTCAACAAAATATTTTCGCCACGATCCCATATGACGTAAATTCATAAAGCATCGATTTCCCAATATTCTGTGAAGGCAACGAACCAACTGGCACCAGCATATATAATATCCTCCCTTTGTAAACACGTCATAATGCTGCCGTCTCTCTCTTTAAAATAAACATCAACACCGTAACTCGCTTGAGGTTATATAAATATTTATTTTTACTGGAAGACAAGGGAAATGCTCCTTATTTTCCAATTTGATCGCAATGAATACTAGAAATAAAACTATTTGTAAGGTATATATGAAAAATATCTCGCTCCTTTCTTTCTCTCAAGGATCTACCGAAGTCATTTATTACCCAGGATAGCCTCCGACTCCCTCAACCCCGAAACAGTACAGTACAATCTCAGGACAGACTAGAACAACTTATTCCCCATTCAGATAACTTTCCCCTACAATGAATATCAAAACCCAGGATGTCTTCCGACGCTACCGGTCACGTAGATTCTTGTACTAAGTTTCAAGGGTCATGAATGTGGAAATAGAGGTGAAATCTACAGCTTGACTTAGTTAGTGAGAGGAACGGAAGATCTCCAATACGGTTTGTTCTTATTTGGAATTCCTTTGATGGAGGTAAAACTGAATAAATTTTCGATCATTGGGGACTCACAAGGCTAATACACACTGAAAATTTTATTGATATCGAAAATTTTACTGAATAAGAAACAGACTCTCTCTCTCTCTCTCTCTCTCTCTCTCTCTCTCTCTCTCTCTCTCTCTCTCTCTCTCTCTCTCTCTCTCTCTCTCTCTTGTCTTTATGTAAATGAGAGGATTTTGGAAGCGACCGTAATAGGATACTGAATAGACGCAATCATGGGAGGGTGTGAGGGGAGAAGGAGGAGGGGAGAGAGAGGGAGGATAGAGAGGAAGGAAGAAAGGAGGGAAGGAGGGAGGGAGCTGTATAGTAGATAAAAGTTATCATGGAGGGAGAGAATGAGAAAAGGGAATGGAGGAAAAGGGGAGAAGAAAAATTTAAAAGGAGGGAATTGAAGGGAGAGGTAGAGGGAGGGGAAAGAGGTAAATGGAGGGGAGATAGAAGGGGAGAGAAAAAAGGGAAATGAAGTTGAGAGAGGGGAAAGATAATGGAGATAGGACAAGTAAGGGGAAGGAATATGAAAAAGGAGAGAAGGTAAGGGAGGGGAGAAAGAGGAGGGGAGAAAGAGGAGGGGAGATGAAGGGTGAAAATAAGGAGGGGGGGAGGAGAGTGTTGGAGATGATAAATATGGAGGAAGAGGATTGGGATGAAAGAGGGAGGAAGATGACACAGAAGGAGAAATGTTGTTTATAATATTTTGATCAATCTTTAAAGACGAAAATATCAGAAAAAAGTAAGAATAATAAAAGAAATGAAAGGAAAAGAGTAAGACGAATCAGAAAGACTCCAGGTAAAATAAATTGGAAGAGGTGGAACAGAAAGACACAGCCAGAGACGATTGGTGGTCTTCAAGTGCGGAATTTAAGAGAGGAGTAAGAAAGGTAATAAATAAAGGAAGAGAGAGAGACAAGGATAGACGATCACCACCTCTCTCTCTCTCTCTCTCTCTCTCTCTCTCTCTCTCTCTCTCTCTCACTTTATTTTCTTTTCTCCAGGTCTTCATCCCTTTCTCTTTATTCTTCCAACCCCTTTCTCTCCTTCCTTTCCTCTCTCTCCTTTTGAAACCTCTTTTCTTCCCTCCCTCTCTCCTTCCCTTCCCCCACTCATTCACCTCTTTCTCCCCTCTCCTTAACTTTCGTCTTCTCCCCTTTCTTATTTTTCATCCACCGTCCTCCCTTGACTCACCGCCTCCACACGTCACATGATTCCTGTTCCTCCCTTACACCAGCGCCGGGTCGGGTCCACCAGCTTCACCAAGAATGAACACCTTAAAAATACGACAAGCTCGATTTTGTTCTCGTAATTGTGATAAGAAGAAGCATATAGAAGAGTTTATACAGAACCAGGTGCAATTTCGCGACATTTTTTTCCTTCCATGTTAAGTGGAGGCAATGAGATGAGATTTTCAATTAGAGGAGAGAATACTGAGTTACGAGACCTGAGAATATGTACTCGAATCTTGGCGGAGGTAAGCCAATTAGAAGCGATCTCACGTCTCTAGTTAGGTGAGACACTGCAGCGTGTGAGACTTTGACAACTGGAGGAGAGACGCAGTGAGGAAATAGAAGTGCTGCTATTGGTTGACATCTCGATATTAATGGAAACGGGATGATCAAAGCGTCACCTGGAGATCACAAGGTACACTGTAAGCAATTTACTCGTTTGTCCATATTAATTGCTATCAAAGGTCTTATTAACATGGGTATTTGATATAATTAGCCTCTGGGGAAATTGACGACAACACCTGAAAGTTAAGGTCAGGTGATACATATCGTGCCTACAGTATATGAAGTAAATATTGTGCTTTAATATCACTCTGTTTAATGACCGCCTTGATTGATCTGACTGATGGATATATATTTTCAACTGGAGCCAATAAATACTTCTTTCTTACTCATTTTTTTTAATAAATGTTTCATCCTACTAAAATTATTTGACCACCATGTATCTTGTATATATAATTTTCCAATATGTGTGTGTGTGTGTGTTTTAAATCTATTTACATACTGTACTTAGTGGGTAAAAACACCAACTGTTGAGAGTTTTATTTAATTAATAAAAAAAAGAGACAGGAACATGGAGGGTTAGACAGACAGATATACAGATAGATAGATAGATAGATAGATAGATAGATAGATAGATAGATAGTTAGATAGATTTAAGAGGAGAGAGAAAGACAGACTAGGGAGAACTAGAGGAGAGAGAAGGAAGATATAGAGAGAGAGTGCCACTTTATGCCAGATAGTGCCACTTTATGCCAGATAGTGCCACCTTTAGAACTATAACCTTGACCATAAGAGCACAGCAGAGATCTGGGTGCTAAGCCATAGTGAAGATACATTATATAATGTATGAGTTACGTACAGTACATCCTCCGTTATTGATTGTGTTGCGGAGGAGCACAGGCCGCCTTACTCCAGCTCCAGAATTAAAAAGAATCAACGAAGAATAATCTATCTATATAAAACAAAGAAGTCTGTCTGTCTGTTTGAGTGTCAGGCACGATAATCTCGGAAACTACTTTACCGATCTGTAGTGATGATGGATGGTGTTATATGTAGTGATGATGGATGGTGTTACATGTAGTGATGATGGGTGGTGTTATATGTAGTGATGATGGATGGTGTTATATGTAGTGATGATGGATGGTGTTACATGTAGTGATGATGGGTGGTGTTATATGTAGTGATGATGGATGGTGTTATATGTAGTGATGATGGGATGGTGTTACATGTAGTGATGATGGTGGTGTTATATGTAGTGATGATGGATGGTGTTATATGTAGTGATGATGGATGGTGTTATATGTAGTGATGATGGGTGGTGTTATATGTAGTGATGATGGATGGTGTTATATGTAGTGATGATGGTATATATGTAGTGATGATGATGGTGTTATATGTAGTGGATGATGGATTTGTTATATGTAGTGATGATGGATGATGTTATATGTAGTGATGATGGGTGGTGCCATATGTAGTGATGATAGGTGGTGTTATGTGTA